CGATGCCGGAGCTGGTGACATCGAGATTGAGGAGGAGGAAGATGGCATGGGGGGACAACCTTCAGAAGCGAAGAAGCGCCGAACCGAGGTGCGTGACATCCGTGATCGTTTTGAGAAGCTGATTTCAGATGCATTGGATGTTCAATATTGTTTCATTTGTGGTGGAAGGCATGGCATTGACGAATGTACTACACCAGATGATGAGAACATGAAGGACACCATATGGCGCATGAGGTTGATCATGGATCAGAAGTCCAAATCCCCATCATCATCCGAAAGATCCAAAGCTGCAACCAGAGGCAGAAAAGACAAGCTCCCAAAGAACGTCATGCCACGAGGAAAGCGTTGGGGAAGAACCAGATTCACTGAGAAAGAGGAAGTGACCAAGTGCTTCTACAGTCAGTCAGCCTTTATGTACGACATTGGTGATCGTGAAGAAGGAGGACAATACTTAGTAAATGGTGTCGAAGTCAACCCAATTAGCCGAGGTGTGAAGAATCGTCATGAGCTTGACTTGCTGATTGAGCGTGCGGCTGAGGAATCTCCACCTGTTTTGCCGACCATTGAAGAGCTGAATGCTTGGAACCCCCTTGATCATGATGCTTATGTAAAATGGCTTACTGAAGAAAGAAAACAACATGGAAACAACGGGAATTTCAAGTACATCCAACCATTCACACACGGCCACAACATCGGTAAACTTCAACTTGCCCGCATCAACGGAGAAGAATATCTTGGAATGGGCTGGTGCAAAGTGCATCGATATGGCGAGAATGAGTGGATGGGCAACAAGTGGGAAAATCCGCCATGGATAGTCGAATTGTCAAAAAGATTCAATGCAGCGCTACGCCACTCCGTGGGTTGCGTCAGAGACAATCGAAATCACCGTGGACTACCATGCGACGAGGCAGGTTGGGTCAATGTTGAGTCGATCTTGAAGTACGATGCCATTTGGAAAGACCAACATACTTTGGCTGGAACGGCCTACGTCAACTACCCGATACTTGTTGAGAGATGGAACAACTTCCAGAGAGTGATCTTCACTGAGTACAAGCAAACGAAGAGAATCCGAGCACAAGTGCTAGGACTCAAGGTCACGAAAGGTGAGTTGGAACACATCATGAACAACTTCAATGATGGATTGACCTCTAGACTTGATCGACAAACACTGAGGATGGAGATCGGCACAGCAGATCGAGAGATTTGGCTTTGGCCGGTGGCAATCCGTGCCCCTATGGCGCATTCAAGAGTTCAAGGCGGTGTGCACATTGAAGACAAAAAGACTTCATATCAGATGAACCCTGGAGTAGGATACACTCTTGGAGGAGGATTTCATTGCACCACATTTGACAACATCGCTCAAATCTTCAGAGAAGGACTACGTCCAGGAGGAGGAGGCGACCGCATCAATACGTTCTTCGTGCCATTCGCGCCGTGGGATGTGAGAAGTCAAATGGTGCTGAGATTCAGGAAGATTGATCAAACTGATCTTGTCTACATCTACATCACGTACGATTCCATCGCCAAGTTCTCCCCTCGATTATCAGCAGACGGACACATTTTGGTCCAAGAAACAATTCCATTCGAATCATTCGATGCAGTTTGGTATTACGACTGGAGAGAAAAGGACTACTACCGTCTCATGATCACGAAGGGAAGAGATCAACTTGTTCTTTCTGTGCAAGGCGCGAAGAGGGTGGCCACCATTGAACGATTTGACAAGCTCATTGGAAACATTGTGCCTGAAGAATCATCACCCGATCTAGACGAACTTCGAAAACTTGTCGATATCAGGACCGGTCACTTCAGTCATACTCACAGATTGTTCCCTGGACATCCGGATTGGAATGATGCAATTTCATTATTGGCAGTCACTCATCATCCTAGCAAAGAGGACCATCGACTATGCCCCGCATGTCTGATGGAGACCCCTGCACCATTATCGATTTGTGTGATGTGCAAAGGATTTTTGGTGAGTCATGGATGGAGGAAACGAATCAAGATCACTGTGGCTACAGTACCAAAGGCCGAATCACATCATCGAGAAGAAGATCTCAAAGACCATGTCAAGAAAGCATGGGAGGAGGTGAAGATCGATTTGACAGGTGATGATGATGACGACGAGGTGATGCCAGATGATGATGATGTCACCATGAAGAGTCCAGAACAAGAGACTCAACCAGAAGAAGGAGATGATGATCAAGCCTCGAAGAAGGGCGACATCAATGATGAGAAAAGAGACTTCAGAGAAGAAGATGAGGTCGACAAATTTCTCAATCAAGAGGGAAAACCGACCGGTGAGAATGATGATGAAGAGAAAGCGGTCGATGAAATCAACATTGAAGAGTACGAGGCTGGAGAAGCTCGTGATGCAGTGATTGAGTACCCCAAGTGGATGCAACGGATTGAGTTTGGATCAAAGGTCCTGCCAATCGAACCTTGCACAATTGGAGATGCTCAGCCAGAATTCATCAAGATCCTCCTGTTGCAGATTGGATTACATATCGTCAGGATCTACAGACTATTCCAACGGAACTTCTGTGGAGACATCGAGACGGCATGGAAACATTTTCAACAGAACCAGAAATTCAGGATGGACCTGGACTCAAGGACACCTTACCTGGGCGAGGATGAAAATGGTGAACTCATTGAGCCAACTGCACAACAGATGAAAGAGCTCTACAAAGAGATCGGCCGACCAAATCAAAAGGACGACATCGGAGAAGAGGGATTCGTCAATGCATACTATGGGGCAGTGGTACTCAAAAGACTTCTCATATATACCCTTGAATGTGGCTACACGTATGATGACTTGCAAAACATATTCTTTGATGAGGAGATGGAGAAGCTGTCGAAACGTGACACCACAATGGATGAGATGAGAAAGACCACAGCGGCCCGCGACGCCCTTGACCGACAAGACGTCATGGTCAGAAGAATCATTGCAGGTGCATATAGGGTAAATGCTGTTTATTTCTTCAGGAACGTTGACTTTCAGGACACAATCACACTGAATCCAGTTGACATTGTGTGTGCTCTTCGTCCACCACTTCGAAGAATATCACTTTTACACCTGATCCTTCAGAATGGCCGACAATTGCCGCGACCTCTACTCCAAAAGCTATATGATGCGATCGATGACTACAATCACATCAAGCAACGGGAAGATCAACGACCAAGGTGGGGCATCCACTTGTCTGAAGCTCACATACTTGCGATTGCTGATACCCCGACTCCTGCTGATCGTGAACGTACCAATCCAGCCGCTGGCAAATCGAAAGCAGCCCCGAAAGCTGCACCAGCACTGGGAAGAGTGTCGAAAGCGAAAGCATCATCGTCAGCGACATGGAGAACAGTTGAAACCGCTCCTCAGCCAAAACAAGCTCCAGTGACCCCGCCGAAGAAGGGTGGAAAAGATCAAGGAAAAGGTGGAAAATCTTATTCACACCGTGGCGGAGACTGGAACCATCAGGGATACTATGGATGGGGATACAGATGATTAAGCGATCTGACCTCTGCATAGGTCCTGATTGAACCTGGCGATGCGAGGATGCAATCATTGCTCGAGATTTACCTCTACTTCATTTTGAATGATTTCTGAGAGGACTCTGAGCCGGCTAATTTAGAACCACACATTTTTTTTTTTGAACATCATTGCATGAAACGCTGAGTTTCTACAGCGGTCTATGTCTCAACCGACGAAGGAACGGGAAGGTAAACTTCTAGTTCCATAGTCAACTTCGTGTTTTGATTTCTTTAATTCACATGCTTGAGTGAGACTCCATGCTGGCTACGCCACATTGGACGAACCTCAATGCTAGACACCGACTACGTCGTGTCTACATGCACGTGAACAGAACCTTTATTTTTTTTGGTAGAGATTGTAGCAAGCCGCCATGTAGATATGAAGTTCTGAACGGACTTTAGCTCTCCATAATTCAACAAAATGAACAGCTGCAGATGTAGTGGATCAATTCGAGGGACACTCCTTTGCGCGTGGCCGACAAAGTTGGCCATGCGTGGGGGGTGCGAATAGAGTGTAGGCTACGGGTCAGTGTACATTATCACTATTAGGCACTCTAAGATCCACAGCCGAAGGGGTACATGAAACCGACCTCTCTGGCTCAAGACCCACTGCAGTGTCAGAGAAAACAATTGCAATGCGGAAGCTGATGCCCTCGTAACGTCATCACTGGAACATTCACTTTGACATTGACTATCAGGATATAATCGGACAGACAATCACCGATTCGCACATAATATATGATTATATATATACATGTATAATCATATATATATATACATATGATAAGATATATATATATATATATATATATTCATGACTATATATATATATGTAATTATATAAACAGATTAAGAATCCTGAGAAATCAAAGAGGATCAATCCTTTCTGGATTATAGCAACCTTATGGCCAACCACACCTCTTGACGGCTTGCTGTGTTCCTGCGATTGCATCATGGACAGTTTGATACACATCTTATTATTATCATCATTATTACTATTATCATTATATCATATATATATATATGTAGAATATGATATACATATACAGCGATATATGCATATGTATGTACCTACATATCCTTTGGGACACAGACCGTATTAAAGATAAGCCGCCAACATTGCGGTGACCTTTCCATATGATCTTGAAGCGCCAGCAACCCCATCTTTGTCGGAGCAAATATATCCCCCAAGGAATCAACAAAGCGGGTTTGCTTGAAGATAGAGTGGATCCTGATTGTCTTCAAATTGCTAAGACGTAGGGTCTTCAAAATTCTGGAGACCAACTCGACTTTGACGGTCAAGACCGATGGGTTTCCTGCGACATTTCCCTTGAATCAAACCATTCACATTGATGTCTATAGATAGGAACATATGATATATATATATGATGTGTTTAATCATTGAATCACCCCATGAATGTGTGTTAGATGATTTCCTGTTTGGTCACGAAACCACACGTGACACATGTCCTAAGGAACTGTACACCAGTGCGAAGGAGAACGCCAAGTTGGTCTTCAAACGGCGACGTGCTGAGAGCGGCATGTGCCTCGAGCGCGGAAATGGGGGAAATGGGGTATCGTTTATTTTCCTATTATATAGTATGGTACATGTGTGTAGTATTATTGTACGTAATTATTCATATGCATGCGAAAAAAATATTGCACAATATATATATATAATTATATATATATATAATTATATATATATATAATTATATATATATATATATGATATTTAAGGTCTTCGGTCCAAGTTTGCCCCCCGAGTTTTTTCTCGCTGTGATTCTTGGCCATTGACCTTAGCGGGCGATTGCGTTGGGATTTCGCCTGCGGGTTCTACCTGGTGCGGATTGACATCGCACTTGTCGGGACCTGAGTTTGTGATTGTGATTGTTTCCATACTGTTGACGGTTGCGGAGTCAGACTTGTTCCTCTGCTTCCATTGTGTGGATTCCTTTGCAACTTGCAATTTGACATTTTTCTCACTGAACTGCTTTGCGCTGGTGAGTGGGTGGTTTTTCACTACAATTTGGGTGGCTCTGCGGTGGCCTACACCGAAGGATTGCTGTACAATACAAATCTTATTTTGCCTGGCTCTGCAGTGGCCGACACTGGGTAATTTGATTTTTGGTTTTCTATCAGTCCTTCTGGCTCTGCGGTGGCCGACACCGAATATTCCAGGTACATTCACATTTGGCATTGAACTGTTTTTTTTTGCCCTGGTGCCATTTGTCAGTTTGCGATTCAATTTACAATTTATGTGCTCAGTATTGCTGATTTTCTTGATCTTTTACGTGGTTTTCACAGTCTTGAAAGATTCCGCTCCTCACTGGGACCAGGAGGAGGAAACAGCGCCAACAGCGCGCTGCTGCACGAGCAGCTTGGTTCAACCACCGCACGGGGCGAGTGATTTTACCCCGCTGGAAGTTGTTCCGTATCAAGCAAATTCTTGCACAGCACCACACGAGAGATCGACATCTTTTACAGAAGATCAACAGCTGCATCACTATGGCGCAACAGGAGTTGTACCCGTGGAAATGCAGTTCATGCCACCGTATCAACAAAAAGGTGGCTACAACATGCGCACTATGCGAGGCCCATTGGACCTCTGGAGTGCGTCACAGCACCGAGCCCAAGCAGACATCCAATCAAGAAGCCTACTCAGAGTACCAGGATGCATATCACAGCCACTGGCCTGCTGGAGGCTACTACGACTGGGAAGCTTGGGAACGGGAAGATCGTTCATGGAATTGGCGTCAGCCGTATACAGACAGATCACAAAGTCCGAGATCGACACAGGGGTCCTCAACACCAAGAGGAAAAAGAGGCAAAGGCAAGACAAAATCCAAGCAAAAGGCGAAGGACAAGACCAAGGACTCGGGAAAAGGCAAAACCGGGGAAGTCAGTGCCTCTCCTTTTGCGCCTCTTGCGCCAGCCATGCCACCATGGCCTGCCCTGGACAGTCAGACCAGCAATGTACTGACCATGCCATCCAATTCCCCTGGAATTTCTGTGGAAGCATTGGCCCAGAAAAAAGAATGTGTAGCGGCTCTCAAAGCAGCCTACCCAGAGGGCAATGCACCGGCAGAAACGAAGGAGCTCATAGAAAAGATGGACAAGGACATCGAACGTCTGGAAAAAGACAACAACAAGATGGTCACGAAAAGCCTTCATTCGGCCACAACCTCGCTGAGCAAAGCACAGAAATTGCTCACCGAGACTCTCGATGCAAGGAAAGTGCATCGTGCACGTTGGACGAAGCACGTGATGGAAGCTGTGACCACATGGCAGAACCAGCTTCACGAATACAGAAAGCAGCAAGCAGGGTTTCAAGAAGTTGTGGCAAAAGCAAGGGGAGATATAGAGACCGCCAGAAGTGCGATACAAGCTCTGTCAGCCAAAGCTTCGCAGGCCACTTTGGCAGCGATGCCTCCAAATGCAGCTGTTACTGGAGAGAACGAAGAGTCCCTTCTGGATGCAGATGCGGAGGAGGAAAAGGCACAGGGACAACTCCAGACTGTCCTTCAAAGTTGTGCTGCGGCGTTGGGAGTGGAGCTCCAACGCCCAGACAATGCACCGGAGTTTCAAGATCTCACCATGGACGAGAGCGAACAAGTGGCCAAAAAGCGCCAAAGATCACTCGAGCCCTTTGGTGGTCCATCGCCTGCTGGGGGAGCACATTCAACTGTGTCATCGTGAATGAAGGCGGTGTGGGGCCAGTGCGAAGCCATAGCCCACATGACGCCCAGAGTGCAGATGTAACAGCTGATGCCTATGTATTGATGCCAACAATGCGTGCAGCATGCTGTTCACAACTGACCAATTTTGATTTTTCGAGATTTCTCCATTGGCAACACTCGATTCAGAATGAACCAACTTATCTCAATCCTTTCGACGCTGTCATGTCTGCCTGGAAGCTGAACTGGAGTGTGATATCAGACCATTTCCAATGTGCATTTGGCCTAATCACTACAGAGTCTGATCCGGCAGGGATTTCCACTGGAACTAGAGGTACTGATGTTCCTCCATGTCCACAGATTTCCGTCACAAGGTCGAAATTGCACCGCAGCTGTTTTCGAACTGATTGCGTTTCCAAATCCAAGGCCAAGTGTGTTCAGTTCTGTTCTGCAGTCAATGTTCACATAGGTCTTGAAGATGAAATGTACATGCCCTATACCGTCATGAGTTTGCATGATTTGGCGAACTGGTCCGAAAAACCATGGACAAAACGTTCAACCAAACGTGCCCAACAAGCAACTGACGTACTAGATCATGGTAGACAGTTGCGCACCACAGATGCTTTTCATGATGTGCCATCCAGATGGTTTGTGCACCACGAAGCAGCGCCAACTGAAGACCAGGAGGATCCTGATGATGCCAATCATTTTCTTCATGAAGCGCCCGAATCAATCCAGATTTTGTATGATGATCTTTTTGCTACAGGTGTTGTCCAGGGACCAAGAATTCACGACAGTGTTTTTCTTAGGTCATGGTATATCCACCACCTTCATGCGCCACAATGCTTTCAATCCAGGGTGATTGAAATCAATGGACACTGGAGACTCTGGTTCCAAGATATCATGAATGCATGGCGTGATAGAATTCTGCCCATGGAACAAACGATTTTTGATATCGTCCAGCCAGCACCGCCACAGCCCAATGAGGTACATGAAATTACGTTCGACATCATCATTGCACAAGGAATCGAAGCGCCTAGACGAGCTGGCCTTGTGTCTGTTTGCCACGCAGACAATCCAGCCCGGCACTTGATTTTTTCTGTTGCTGTATCATTGTCGGAACAAACAAGTGGACATCAAGTAGTACAAATGGCGGAATATCTTCACGAGTGCAATCTCCACCAATGCACCCTCCGACACGGAGGAGCCATTCTGCCATTCACGTTGGAACCGGTCCATGCTATGCAAGATGGAGATTCTTTCATTGTTACAGCCCGCAGTGCAGTTGTTGCCAACACAGCTGTAGATACTGCGATGGATGAATTTGACCTGTCTGACCATGTGCCAAATGCTAATGGAGATGATGCATCAGTCGAAATGCATTCCTCTGTTCCTTCTCCAAGTTTTGCGGCTGAAGAAACTGGTCTCCGAAGTACGGTCTTACATAGGCTAGAGCCTTTTCAGACTGTAGGTCAACTTTGTAATGATGATGACATGGGTGCTCTTGATTCTGGTTGCAGGAAAGGTCCAGTCGATAAAGGCGCGGATTTGGACGGGGACATAGACGTTCCCATGATGTCGTCAAGACCCACAAGCCGTGCTGCACGTCCGACTAGGCCAGTTCATGACGGCACTGAAACTTGGTTTTGGGAACTCAGCCAGATTTTCCAATCCCATTCGGAAGAAGAAGCATTTGAGGGTGAGTTTTTCATTTATATCCAAACTTGGTTTATCGACCATGAACGGCACAGCGTTTGCCGCCGTCCAAGACCGGTACGATTGGATCAACATTGGATCACATGGTTAGATGACCTCCGGCATGAATGGAGAGATATTCTTGCACATGATGCTCCATTTTCAGTCCATATCATTAAGCCACGGCCGCCACAGTTTCGCCACCATGGATATGCATGTCACTTGTTGCTTGAGCAAAATCGACCACGTGGTAACGCAGCTGGCATTTTGACATCCTTGATTGAAGGTCCCACAAATGATGGTATCACTCAAGGTGCATTTTCTGTTCCACGTTTTTTGCGCAAACAAGACATCATTGATTTCCTGGAAGTCGAACCTTTCTGTAGTGGACGCAGATGTACCGCATATCATGATCAAGTGCCAATTCAACTTGTGCAGGCCACCGAAGTGCACTCTGGTTTTAGCATTTGTTTGCGGATTGCATCACAAGAACTCCAACGTCCGTACGCACCACATGACAGGCCGCAGTTCTTTGAGGATTTGGACTTAATGCAGAGGTCGATTACGATCCATGGGCCTCAGAATCGGGCAATTGACATCCCTAATGAGGCTGAAACGAACTGTGATCCGTTTGTACCACCTTTTCAGTTCAATGCTCATGCCGCTGCCTTCCAACCGGCGCCACCGATCCTTCGTGCGCAATCGGAATTTACCCAAGACTTACATCTCCTATGGAGTGCTTCAGCATCCTCATGGGAAAATGAAGTGCCTGCTGCCCATGTTTTGACATGGTTTGTGGACCACCGACAAGTGCCGCCGATTTGCCTTGACAGCAGACAGGTTACACTCCATGACAATGTGCAAGAGTGGGAGACCATCATTAAAAATGCATGGCGTGATTCCTTGGATAACACGCAGCCAATTGAATTGTATGTTGTGCAGCCGGATCCGCCTATGATGCAGCCCAGCATTTTTGCTCATGTTGTGCTTGTTCAAGCTCCAAGAGACAATTGGGTCTCAAATCTTGTCACTGTCTTTGATTCATTCATCAGCAGTAGAGAAAGGAATCTCATGCGGCTTGTTGTGACCACGCATGAGCACTTCAGTCTCCACAACATTGCACTTGCTTGTGGTTACGGTTTTATTGGCAGCGCACCAATTGACCCAGTTGCATTTCAAGGATGGGTCAATCGACACCCACTTGAACCTGGACGATTGTGGCCAGGGCGTTCTGGAAGTGAAATCACGTTGCAGGTTCAGCGACAAGTAGTGCCGCTGCCAGCACATCTCCAACCCCAGGATGCCCAATTTCTGCTGCAGACTCACAGTGTTCGCAAGATCCCAGGATCGAAAATGACTGACAGTAGCCTGACTGATGGAGACAGCCTGAACAGTCAGGATCGCATTGTCATTGACCTGGATGCGGTACTATTTAGTCCGCATCTAGTGCCTGTCCAGCTTATCCATGCAAGTGACTGTGACATGCCAGCACATTTTCCTGATCATGTACTTGTGCCGGATGGTTTTCATGCAGCCGACATTGAAAAAGCTTTGGATGAATTTGGACTTTCATATCATGCGTATGTTTTGCATGCCACTGGATTTTCCTTTGTCTCGCCAATTTGCTGGAGTGCAAAACTTGATTGTTGACACTTGATTTATTTTCCATTGCAATTTGGAGGCAAAGAAGAAATTGTTCTTCACAAAAGTGATCATGAACCCACAACTCATGAGCACATGAAGTTCTTGCATGCAATTGGATTCACCCGAGCTGTCATCTTGGATACTCAACAGCCACGCTGTCGTGTGTTGCTTGTGCGGTATCACAATAACACTCCTGCGCTTGAGGAAATGAAGAAAGTGCAGAAAACTGCCACAGCATGGCCGCAGCCGCAAACCGTTAGATCCCATGCAGCAATGTATCGACAACCCACGGCACAGGATGGCCCCATTGATCATTTGCTCACTTGGAATGTCACCTTCGAAGATCTACATGATCTTTTCCACTCAGGCAATGACATCCTGTGCCCATGGCACTCGCATTTGGACTTGCCAGAGATTGTCCGAAATGCGCTGCTAGCGGATGCCAGCCATGAAGGGCATGTGGAGTCTTTTTCAACCTTTGACAGATTGATTGTTTACACTGATGGTAGCTCTAAGTCCCAGCACAGACGAAAAGCGCCATTGTGGGTACAAGAATTTGACAGTCCTGATGCATGGGCTTTCGTAGTCCTGGGTGAGCGCTATGGCACGCAGTCTACTGACCCTGAACTTGTGCTGCTTGGCTGGCACTCACAACAGGTTTTGTATGAGCCACACTTGCCCCATTCCCCTGGTACCGATGCCATTGGATCAGAATTCGCCGAGCGTGAGGCGCTTTTTTGGGCGGGCATATGGAGGCTTGGGATTAATTCCAGTATACCAACTGTTTTTCGCACTGATTCAAGCACTACTGCAGACCAAGCAACAGGAAGAGTCTGTTGCCACAGCCAACATCCCACGTTCACTGCATTGAGAAGCATTTTTCAAGCACTGCAGGCAGGCATGCAACGAGATGACCTATGGGTTGAGCATGTGGCAGGACATGCCGGAGATCCCTGGAATGAGTTAGCTGATTTTTTGGCCAAGACCGAGGCCAAGATCGGTCACAAGCTTGTCAGACAGCAAATCAATCTTCACCAGTGGACACCAATTCTTCCTTATCTCTGGATGATATTTGACCAACATGCAGGACTGCCGCCGATTGTGAACGGTGGCTTTGCAATTCCGCCGCCAGATCCGCCAAGCGTTGATAAAGAAGTGTCTGAGCAGACGGATCAGATTCATTCAAAGGTGAGAACGGATTTTGCTCTCAGTCTTGCCTCACTGAACGTTGGATCGTTGTTCACTGGCCCCGATGGTTTCGCCGGCAAACTTAAATTTCTCAGGGATCAAATGAAAACCCTTCATATGAATATGTTGGGCCTGCAAGAAGCTCGCAGTCCTGCGGGCCTTAGTCTTGCTGAGGACGTGATCAGACTTTCAAGTGGTGCCCAGCAAGGTCGACATGGAGTCGAGCTGTGGATCAACACGAAGCAGCCTTTCTGCTATGCAAAGGGAAAACCGCAGTTCCTACAAAGATCGCACATTCAGGTTGTCCAGGCTGATCATCGCAGATTGATTGTCAGAATTGCTTGTCCATTGTTTCAATGTATTGTTGCGGTTTTGCATGCGCCGCAAAGTGGTCGATCCCTTGAAACACGCAAAGAATGGTGGGAGGAGACCCATAACCTCCTACAAACTGTCCAGAATGATGTGCCTCTTTTTGCAATGATCGATGCCAATGCCAAGAGCGGACCCTGCTCACCGCCAATCGTCTTTGAAAACGATGATGCCAATTCAACAAGCACTGCGCTTTTCCTGGATTTCCTGATGCAACATGAGATGTGCTTGCCCAGCACTGGTAGTATGCACCAAGGTGCTCATGCCACATGGACGGCGCCTGATGGAATGACGCATCATCGCATTGACTTTGTTGCAGTTCCGCAAGCTTGGAGTGCACGGTGCACACATTCGAGTCTTTTGCCTGAATTGGACACAGGAAATGCCCATGAAGACCACACTGCTGTGGCTCTGCAGCTTTGTTGGCATGATTTCCTACAGGTTGGCCCCAAACATAAGGAATCCAAAGGTAGGCATAACAGACACAAAATTGGGCAAAATCGACAGCACATTGATTTGACTTTGGTCTCCATTGCGGATTGGAAAGTTGACATTGAGACGCAGGTCCAACAAGTCAATGGACAACTCGCACAGATTCTGACCAAAGCCTGTCCTCTTGACAAAACATGTGCTAAAAAACCGTTCATTGACCAGGCTCTGTGGCACCTGCGTGCACAAAAGTTGCACCTGCGGAAACGACTGCAAACTGCACAACGCCAAAGATCATTGCTCCTGTTGCGATGTACCTTCCAGTATTGGCAGCAAGACGAGGTGGATGAAACTGCTCATTGCCAGCATGAAGCATATGTCACCTCTATCCTGTGTGCTGAGCTGAAGCTTCATTGTCGTTATTATTGCATTGCTCGGACGTTGAAGATGCGTCTTCGACATGCCAAAGCAAATGCTTTACAGGCAGAATTACATGGTGTTTGTGACAAGACGGCGGCAGGTGAAATCTTGCATCGGATCAGACCCTTCATTGGACCAAGCAATCCAAAAAAGATCAAGCGCGCCTGTTTGCCTCTTGTTAAATCCAGCACGGGTCACATTTGCCAGACGCCGCAAGATGCCCAAAATAGATGGATCGAATTTTTTCAACAAATGGAAAATGGCACGAGGATGTCTTTGCAAGCCTACCGCTCTGGCTGGGCTGCCAATCTCCGTCATTTCCTACAAGTTGATAGCCTCAAAGTTCCATTGCAAGAACTCCCAACATTGGTTAATTTGGAAGCAGCCTTTCACCGTGTTGCGGTTGGAAAAGCAGTTGGTGCAGACAATGTACCGCCTGAAGTATGCCGATACAAGGCCACTGAGATGGCGCGAATTGCCTACGCAATCATGATGAAAACATGTTTGTATGGGCAGGAAGCTGTCGAGCATAAAGGCGGTCGATTAGCAATTGCATGGAAGAATAAAGGTGACCCTGCAGATTGCGCTGCCCACCGTTCTCTTTTAGTATCCAGTCATTTTGGCAAAACCATCCACCGGGCATTGAGACAAAAATATCATGGTTTATACATCCAGTACATGCAAGCGCAGCAGCTTGGTGGTAGACCATGCATGCCAGTTGGAGTTCCACTGCACATGACCAGAGCGTTCATGAGATGGCAGCAAAGAATGCACCGATCGACTTCCATTGTTTTCTTAGACTTAACGGAAGCGTTCTACCGAGTTGTGCGTCCTTTAGCACTCGGTGGAGATTTCAGTGATGCACACATTGCACACATTGCTGCTGGTCTGGGCCTTGATGCCGATGCTCTGCATTCCTTCTATCAACAGCTTGGTGAGCCCTCAGCTCTGCAAGAGACGGGGGCACCTTTGCATGTTCAGCGATTCATGCAAGCGCTTCATGTCGACACATGGTTCACCATTGGTGACCAAAATGACTTGATTAAAACAGCACAAGGATCGCGCCCAGGAGACAGTTATGCAGACGTTGTTTTTGGTCTGTTATGGGCCAAGCTCCTCCGCAAATATGAACAAAAGCTGATTGATGCGGAGTTGCTGACATTCATCCCTGATCATGACACACCGGCGCTCTTCGGTTTTGATGCCACTGATCGTCCACAGATCGCCCTTCTCGGCCCAACCTGGATGGATGACTTGTGTGTATGTTTATGTGCATCTTCAAATTCAGAACTGATTGAAAAGACAACATTTGCTCTCAGTCTCTTGATTGACATGTGTAAAGACATGCACATGCAACCGAACCTCCGTAAGGGGAAAACCGAAGTTATGTTCTGCTTTAGAGGACAAGGCTCCAGACAGTACAGGCGGCAGTTCTACTCACAAGAGCAGAACCTTCCGGTTGTTTGTGAAGATACCACACATCAGGTCTCTGTTGTTAGCAGATATCTCCATCTTGGTGGGATCTTGCACCACCGAGTTGTGACACGTGTGGAAGTGACCCGGAGACTGGGAATCGCTAACCAAGCATTCTCCCAGCACCGTCGAATTTTGTTTTGCAACCCCCAATTGACCTGGGACAAGCGGCGGGAAATTTTTACCACCCTTGTGCTCAGTAAACTTGTGTACGGCTTCGAATCGTGGACATTTGAGACCCAGCAGATCAGAAGTCAACTTCATGCTGGTATCATCAAATTATACAAACGACTGCTGGGACACAAACATGCAGCTCACCTGACAGATGAGGAAGTTTTGATTGAAGCCAATCTTCCTTCGCCCACAGACCTTTTGCGAGGTTGCCGTTTGCGCTATTTTGGCACCTTGTACAATTGTGGCAGAGCTGCGCATTGGGGGCTTCTCACTGAAGATCGACAGTGGATTGAATTGATTGAAGATGACTTCAAATGGCTCTGGATCCAACTCAGGAACAACACGGATTTGCCTGACCCAGTGCACCATTACCCAGTTTGGCATGATTTATTACTCCACCACGGTGGATATTGGAAAAAGCTTGTCAAGAAGGGTATTGCTCACGCTTGCCTCCAACGAGCCAACAATGCAATTGCGACTCAACTGCATTGCCGGGTGGCCAATTTTCTGCATACGAAAGGCTGGGTCAGCAAGCTTCCCCAGAAAGCTTGTTCTGAGATTGATCCACCGCAAGTCTTTGGTTGCATGCAATGTGGCACTACCCAAGCCACGAAAGCTGGTGAGAGCGCACACATGTTCAAACGACATGGACATCGTGCGTCTGCTAGAAAGCTTTTTGATGGCACTGCTTGTCCACACTGTTTGAGGGAGTACCATACACGTGCAAAAGTGTTAGCGCACCTTCGACAAGGGACTGTCTGTAGACGAAGTCTCATTGGACGCAGAATGCAGTGTAATGTCATGCCAGGTACTGGCTCCAGACTGGATCATGATTTGGAAGCTGCCATTGATGGAGCATTGCCGTTCCAAATTGGTCATGGACCGCATCTGCCAGATGATACCAGACATGACTTTGTTTCCTATGACATTGACGTCGTGGAGACGATCTATCTCTGTTTGGTTGATTTCGCTGGAGAGGAGGATTTGAAAACTGTCATTTCACGTGAAGTCTGCAATATCCCGATCAGCTGGTCGACATGTCATGCCACGTTTAAGTATTTTTTGGATACTTTTACAGAAGGTGATGCTGAGCCGTTGTCTCTAAGTTTTGAGCAGGTTACAGCTTGCATCCGAGATCTTATGCAGCCGACTCATTGGCCTTTCTTGACGCGATGCGCGCGACAAGAGTCATCGAAGAAGGTTTGCTTAGAAGATTGGGAAGAGTGGTTTGCAGAACATGCGGTCAATCCACAGTCGGCATGGACACACTGTGGAGCAATTCCCAGGGTATTTGGTAAGCAGAAAATTGTACTCCATGCGTATGCAGGCCGTCGCCGCCGTGGTGACATCGAATGGTACATGTCTGAAATTGCCAAATTACACCCTGACCATCTCATCATGACTGCATCCGTGGACATCATTATTGACTCTGTTTATGGCGATATTTCAAGAGCTGACACACGTGACTATTGGCTTTTTCACATTTCCAATGGCCATGTGGTTGGATTTATCGCTGGACCCCCTTGCAATACGTGGAGTAAGGCGCGCAACATTCAGGTTTCCAATCATTTTGGGCCGAGAGTTGTACGCACTCCTACGGAACCGTGGGGGATGGAATCTCTCCGACTTGGTGAATTGCGACAGGTCATGCTTGGCTCGCTGCTTCTTGGGTTTGCCTTCGAATGCTTGGTAGCTTTAGCGACGTGCGCGGGATCTGGGTTGCTCGAGCATCCGAAAGACCCAGAAGATCCGGAGCTGGTCAGCATATGGCGCCTGCCGATCTTGAGAATGATTTTGACTTTGCCGAACATGAGAACGATTTCCCTTTCGCAAGGTCTTTTCGGCGCCCCATCTGCAAAGCCTACGACTTTCCTGGTGCTTGGATTGCCAACACTGGAGAGGGACCTGCACAGCAGTATGTTGACACCACATTTGCCACAAGGTGCATCGATAGGTAGAGATTCAACTGGCCAGTATAGAACGGCTCCACTTAAAGAGTATCCGCCGGCACTCTGCCGTGCAATTGCAGCAAGCTTTTGTACAGATTTCGCCAGCATGGAGTGCGGCGACATTGAGCCACCAACTGACTTCGCCAACAAATGCATGGAAATGAGCGAAGGTCAGATGGATGGCTTTATAGGCCATGATGGTTAGACGCCATTTTTTTGGCCGCTGAATTCAGCAGGCACCGTCGCAGCGATCATGCTACTGGGAACGGGAGGGAAAAGATATGATATTTGGTGTACAAGTAATATAGAATATATTTATATATATATATATATATATAGTAGCGACATTTAAATACGTGGAGGGCGGGCCAGACTACAAGGCACCAGGCACCGGTTGTTTTTTGTCCCCACCAGATCCTTAAATCCTGGCGATTGGATATGCCGGATATCTTCACGTCAGTGGATCCCCATGATCCCATGTTCGTTGGTTCAATTAAGGTCAACATCCATACATTATATATAATCATGTATATTATTATATGATATATTATATGATTATAGGATATGTCTGATATGTCATTCTTCTTGACCACGAGATCCCAGGTTTGTATTTTTAGCGCCTGAGTTTTCTGGAAACAACTCCAAAAATATCCTCATAGATACTCAATGTCCCAGTCCATTTGGGAACCTAAAATATATCCTAAAATGATGGCGCTGTGGACCCAGGTCTCAGACCTTGTCATGAAGACTTTCTGGGGATGAACATCCGAAAATGATGGGTTTTGATCCATAGGGATCCAGATGGCCACATCACTCATTTCGGGAGAGGGCCAAGGAGCCATGGATGCGAGAATTCCTAAAGGAAAACTAAAGAACCCACTTACTCCATCTTGCTGGTTTGATAGGATAGGTTTCTACTGGAAATCGCATCCTCAAGCTGACAGAATATTTTTGCGTTTTTTTTTCTATTGCCAATACCATACATCCCTATTGCTCTTTATTGGTAGATTTCTTGGGTTTCAGCAGCACCGTGCGATTAGCAGCATCGTTTGATCAGCGATAAAACATGCCATAAACCGAGGCTTTATCTCTTGCGATCTCGCGTGATTCCATGCGACTCCGCTTGATTCAAAACCGGTTGGGAGTGGGTCGAAAACCACCGATCGATGAAGATCCCCTTTGTCAGCTAGTCATGGCTGGGAAGTCCCCAAACTCAACCCAGGTTGTTTGTTGCTGGGAAAATCATCGATGATCTTCAGGAGTTGCTGGGAAAAGGAGGCTAGCCTTGACTCGTTACAGTGATGAATCTAGGAACGGAATCCGATTTTTGATCTGGAAATGGTAAATCGCTGTTTAAACTGTTTATTGAAACATCTGGAGAAGATTTTGCCGGATCTAATATTACAAGCACCCCATCTTGAAAGTTGATGTTGAAAAGTTGCATCATCTTTGTTCGATTGCAATTGGGATTCAAATCCACCACCAAAAGCATCTTCAAAGGCACCAAGATTACTAAAGTCCGTGAAGAAATGTGAACACAGTGTGGACACACGGCCAAGGCCATATCTTCTCGACGCACGTTGCTTTTGGAATCATGACTTTCGCAGGCGGGGCCGGAGGGTGCGGTTGCCGTTGCTGTTGTTGCTAGTGGTAGCAGCGAGGATGAGAATGGGATGAGAATGAGGATGAGGATGATGATGATAAATATTATTGGGATGAAGTGAACATGTACAGGAGAACACATGAAGTTTACACGTAAAACACACATCAAATGTCGGGGTTCATGCAGATTTTCCCAATGGAGATGACTTCTCGGCACGGCTGCATCTGTGGCAGGAGTGGTGGCCCTCAGTATCCAGGCAGCTGGCCCCGTTGTTCGGAATGGATCGAGATTTCAAGCCTCTTGGGAATACCAATTGGAAGCGGTGCTCAAACTGCGGTATCATCAAGTATCCCCCTGTTTGGATTACACTGGAGTAAATCATGTAAAATCCTCATCCCAATAGCCATGGCCATATGTTTGTTGATCTCTTCATCTAAGTTCTAGGCTTAACCCAAGGATGACAGGGTACAATGAGTACAAAGGTGGGTGTGTAAAACATGAACCCCCTTGGGAAACGAACATGTTTGGTTCATTTGGACGGTGATTTTGCCAATTTTGCCATAATTTTGCGATCCATTTTTGTGGTATTTGATTTTGACCCGTACCCATGGTAGTTTTCCAACACAGCTTGGTGAATTCTTGCAGCAGCAGAGATCAAATTGCTTCTGCCTTTTCGGTGAAGTAAGAACTACACGACTAGGCCGATAGGACCAGATATCGCACGTATTGGCTAGACAATTTGAATTTGAGGACAGATCATGCAAAAAAACGGAAACAACTTCCAAACATTCAGAACTAGTTGTGTGTAATTATTGCAAAACATTGCTGTGCAACTGGCAACACCAAGCTGATTTGCACGAATCATGGGACGAGTCACTACAAGTTGCGATACCTCCGCAAACTACTGAGTCATTCAGTCGCCCCTGTCCACAGGTGTACTGCTTCATGGACCACAATTTTAAGGTGTGGGTATCTTGACAGCAGCCCTGGACACCAAGAAAGATGGCAATTTGAACCAGCGATGGGAAAGGGTGCAAAGAATAGCATGTCCTTCAAACAAATATGATAAAATATATGTATATCCAAAGATTTCACAAATATTTCACTGGTGTTGTTTCCATTTCATCAGTTCATCACTGCCGGATTTATAGACCTTTACGAAAAACCCGGCAGGTAGTTTTTCCAATGTCATCCAGTTGGAGCTCCTTCAGACATGACCAGCTTGGCTTTTTTTTGGTCCGTTGGGATCCCATTTACGAAGTTCGCCCTGTCCGCTTCGTTGAAGAACCCTTGTTATATGGAAAATCCCAACCATAAATGGAGGTTTCGTTCGCTGGGAAAATCATCTATAAATCATCTATATACCATCTGGTTACTGTATGACTAACAGTTCGCCATGGTATAGATAGTCCATAGAAACAGATGGTTTGCCTATAAAAAATGGGTGGATCTTTCCATGGCAAACTGTTAGTCATAACAAGAGGGTAAATGATGGTCAACAAGGGGAAGCACAGAAAAAATGACCTGGCTCCTTGCTGGCGAATTGGGTATGAGTCAAAAATTGAATGTCAGGCCCACTGATCTTGATCCTTGAACAAGTCATAAGCTTGAATTCCCCAAACCCGGTAGAGACTCTAACTATCTTAAAACAATTAAAAGTACGCTTGACCTTAGGAAAACATGTGCTGCCAAAATACACTTGCAGCAAGAATGTGATTTTTGTTTCCACAGGTGCAGTCCAAAAATGCACTTTCCAAAAAAATGCACAATGTGCGGGTAAGAAAATACACTCGCAGTAAACGTGCAAGTCCGATTTCCACACACGCGTAAAATAAATACACCTGCACAAGACGCAGATGCCCAAGGCGTAAAAAAAATACGCCTGGGCGAGACACAGGTGCCAAACGCGTAAAAAAAATACATTTTTTAGCAAAAATCGCATCGCAAATGCACCAAACATATGCAAAAAATACACAACGTCAAAACACCAAAAATACACTTTGGGACAGGTGTATTTTAAATATGCCGTGCCTGGAGACCAAAAATGCGCACGGAAGAAGGTGTATTTTCTGGCGGCGCAAGTTTTTAGCCACGTGAATTCCATATTTCTAACTGCATTTTGGCTTTGGCCACAATGACGGGATTGAGGCGAATTTTAATTCCAAGATGCCTTAGAGAGTGTACCAGACTTTGGGGAATTCAATCATAAGCATTTCGTATGCGAAAACTGCGGTCTCCAGTTTGACCCATACCCAATGACTCCAAGGGTAACTTCGTAGCTGATTCGGACCGAAGAGGTTTCCATGCTGCCAACTTGATGGAGAGTGTAAGGAAGCAATGCTCATGAAAGACAATGAAATAACATACTAATTTCATCTAATTTCACATGGCGGGAAAATGCCACCATCTATGAGTTGTCTAGCTTTGCCTTGAGGTTTTTTGGCCCTTCCTGGCGTGTCAAGTGACCATTGTTGCAATGGGTTGCTTGGCAGCAGCTATCGAGCTATCGAGACTAAACAAGAAACCTATGGATTACTATATAGATTGGTATAGATTAGCTAGCATTCCAAGGTGTTAGCCATGATTTTTTCTTGTTCGAGTAGGAAGCACCAACCTGTGGGTCCTGTGGGTGGGCCCGTACTCTCGGCAAGCGGTGGTTCCCACGTCAAAAACGCGGCAAGGGCAAGCCAGGTCTACCTGTGGTAAATCATGGGGATTTCAGAAGGAACATCTGCAGTGGGATGCCACTTGGGGGGTTCATTATTGAGTATCACCAGATATCACCAGGGTAACCCCCACTGGGATTTGGATGGATATGGTTCCGAAGCGCGTTTGTGTTTTGTTTACATAGATTCTCACCTCTTACAACTGGTTCACTACACCACCAGGCAGAGGAAAACTTTTTTTTGTAGGAGCAATTTCTTTAAATCGATTCTGGGAAAATGTTTCATGGCTTGTAAATCAACTTATAACTGGGCCCTCCTGTAGTTGTCGGGGTACTTCGGTACGGCTCATCATCCGGGCTGATTTTCATGGATTTTCCGGAGTGGTGATGTGGGTTTGTCTGAAAATACCCCTAAATATCATTAAATATCCATTGGTCAATCATCATTGTCCCTATTTTTCATAGCGATACTTGGGGGTATATACCCTCTGGTAAACTAACATAACTATGGAAAATCACAATTTTTAATGGGAAAATCCACTATAAATGGTCATTTTCAATAGCTATGTCAGCTATTACCAGAGGGTACACCATTTTCGGCGAGAAAGTCATGTGGCTAAAAATCGCCGAAGCCTTGCAGGCTTCCAACAACCTGACATTCCATGGGTCCGTCGGGAGCCCTGGTAAGGCCTTGGACGTTAGTAGGTTAGCGGTTAGGTTATATCCCTGGTTTTGTTCGTGGGATAAGAAAGGGTCAATCCACTATATTTTCACTAGGGTTGCGCTCGCTACTTCCTAAGTCAAGTGGGATGAGCCACCAAGTAGTTTCATGGAGATTATTATAGTCCATTATATGATATGGGAATCCTTATTAACCATCCATTTGGTTACTAATTCTTAACCATATTTTTTAAAGATGCTCAAGTTGGAATATTTTCTGGGATATACTTAGTTTATGGATTGATATATTCAACGATATTGTTATTTTTGGTGTGTCTGAAATTGGGACCATGGTATACCCTGCAGCTATTCAATGGGCAAAGTAACGATATGTAACTGACAAGTTTGTGACACCCCTGGACAGAGGGACCTGAAGTGGAGGTACTGTGCCAAGGCCATAATTGACGCAGATGCCCTCCATAGGTGCATTTTCATAGATTTTATAAGGACACGTGCGCGCACACACACGTACATATATATATAATTATATATATATATACATGTATGTATGTATGTATGTATGCATGCATGTATGTAATGTATGTATGTATGTATGTATGCATGTATGTATGCATGCATGGATGCATGCATGCATGGATGTATGTATGTATGTATGTATGTACGTACGTTAGGTAGGTAGGTAGGTAGGTAGGTAGGTAGGTAGGGAGGTGTGTATGTAGATAGATAGATAGATAGATAGATAGATAGGTAGGTAGGTAGATAGATAGGTAGATAGGTAGATAGGTAGATAGATAGATCGATAGATAGATAAATGGATTAACATAGATTAGATAGATTAGATAGATTCGATAGATTAGATAGATTCGATAGATTAGATAGATTAGATAGATTAGATAGATTGGATAGATTAGATAGATTAGATAGGTTCGATAGATTGGATAGATTAGATAGATTAGATAGATTAGATAGATTGGATAGATTCGATAGATTAGATAGATTCGATAGATTAGATAGATTGGATAGATTAGATAGATTAGATAGATTGGATAGATTAGATAGATTAGATAGATTAGATAGATTGGATAGATTCGATAGATTAGATAGATGAGATATACTGGATAGATTAGGTAGATCGATAGATCGATCGATAAATAGTAAGCTGGATAGATAGTAAGAACGATAATATAGATAATATAGATAATATAGATAATGTAGATAAGATAGCTAAAATAGATAAGATAAACAATATAGATACGATAGACAAGATAGATAAGATCGATAAGGTAGATAAGATAGATAATATTGATAAGATAGATAAGATAGATTAGATAGATTGGATAGATTAGATAGAATAGAATAGAATCGAATTCAATAGAATAGACTAGAATAGATAGATAGATAGATAGATAAATAGATAGATAGATAGATAAATAATATATATATAATATAATATGCATTATATATATATATATATATTTATATATATATATATATATACATGCTCACATGCATCAGCAGGAAGGAATTACGTTTCTTGTGCGCACCCGTATGTCTCTATGCGGATCGGAGTTACGGCCTTTTATAGGCGATTTGTGTTGCCTGCGCGGCGGATCGGTTGAATATGGTTGAATGGTAGGAAGCACTCAAGCAGACAGTTTTTTGTCATGGTGCAGTATGTGCATATCATACATATATATATACACTCAATGTATATATTATAATATATAATATAATATACAGAAGCAAGAATCACGTATATTATACATATGCTAAATCACATGACCCTGACCCTTCATGTGCTGCTAACATCGTTGCAGAATGTCATGTCTAACGCTTGTATGTACCAAGCGTTTTTAGCGCCCAGGCAAGCAATGGGATCCGACCATGCCACCCCACTACCTGTGGTTTTGCAAACAAAAGGACAGCTGAAAAAAACGGCACAGCACGGGCAGGACGGCTGAAGAATTTTTTTTGACCCGGGAAAACTCCAAAAATGTCCAAAAGGGGGATGTGTGGATATAAGAAATTAACACCTGCCCGAACATCTCATAACGGGTTCCAACCGTATATTTTGTTGTGGGTGTTGGCAGTCTCAACCACTGCGAAAGCCGTTGCATGTGGAATGGGAGCATGACATCTCAGGCACTTCCGAAACTTGATGCTGTCCTAATTATTGAGATTTCAGCTTGAAGACGGACATTGACTGGAAGTCAAGGTCAAATTTTGGTTTGCTCCAACTATTGCTTCTGCTAGGTCCTTGGCCTTGCTGTGGGGCCCCGTTATTAGTGATTCGGTTTGAGGATTATTTTTCCAGCACGACTAGGGGCATGGATCTAAACCGTGGTTTGTTGTGTTTAACAGTTTAACATCCCAATTTCAACAGAGAAGTGGACGTAGGCTGTTCACCCAAATTGTAGGTGTTTGCTTTTAATTACTCTACCCATAATCCATCATATATCCCATAGTCATAGCAACATGGCGCAATGGATTCAATGGATCGAAACCCTGGTACCGTGACTTACACAATATATTACCCTCTGGTTATTTTACATAGCCATGGAAAATCACCATTTTTAATGGGTAAACCCAGGTAAACCATCTATAAATGGGCCATTTTCCATGGCTATGTTAAATAACCAGAGGGTATATGATATCAATGATATATGTATATTTATAATGCTGGTGTTCATGGATGTTCATTCCCCCGAACATTGGAAGGCAATAGGAATTTATATTTGGTTTTGGTCACCATCATTAGGAGACCTTTTTCTCCGCGCAGGAACAAGAAGAGGATAGCATCAACTCAGAGATTCATGGAACCTCGAACGTCATTTGGAATGTCTTCCACAGATCATCATAAATTATCCGAAGAATGGGATCAAAATTCATGAACAGATCCAATACATTTCATTTCGGTACTTTATTAGGGTGACGTGACTACCTTACCTGAAATAATTATATAATCATGGGCCATGGGAGTGAAACTTGCGATGACCAAAATCCTGTGTGATTGATGGCGCTATCGAATCAACTGTAATTGTTACAACCAGTAGATATGAATGGGATCCAAAAGTGACAATCCAATATGGGAACCCCTGTAAACCAACCAATAAGTTTGGGATGACCTAGGGACCTAGAGCTTTGGTGACTGCTCTTTCGGTTGGATCGAAAATTCAGGTCCCTTCATGATGATTTGCTCGTGACAAATGGACGTAGTCCACTTGGAAGGTTGATCTGAGTTGTCAAACACGAGTCATTTGGGTGGTCAAAAATTGTCAAAATGATTGCGCCCCCAAAATGGATGCTTTAATGCAACCAATGGCCAAATTTGTGGGTCCCTCGCTACCCCGATTTGGACCTCCATTTGGGAAAATCTGTGTAAACCCTTCTTTCTGAGAAACACAAAAAGAATTGGCTGCGGTTCAAAGTAATATTGTAATACCACACAAGTACTCAATAAGAAAATGATTGGTGGTTCAACCAGTGGTTCCAATCGATTTTAATGCTCTACGATATTTCGGATGATCCAAACTGCAATCCAAAAAGGATGGGTTGAAACCACCAGCAAGGAAGTTATTCTCAGGCCAAACAGTTTAATTTTTCCCAAGACGAGGATTGGCATGTATGCATGCATACATACATACCCTACCCATCACATACATTACATACACTACGTACACTTCATACAGTACCTCACGTAACGTAGCGTTACATTATGTTGCGTTACGTTATATATACACCAATGCATGCATGCATGCCTACGTACGTACACACGTACACACGTACATCCATACATCACTACAGTATATCAACATATCCATACACATCCATACGCATCCATAATACACATCCATAATACACTTTCATACTCATCCATACGCATTCATACGCATCCATATTCATCCATACACATCCAAAAGCATCCATACACATACATACGGAGTTTTTTTTCAACTTATTTTTCTATCCGCTTTGCTTCTCTGCTGTTCTGCTTCTCTGCTTTTTCCTTTCTTTTTTTTCCCTTCCTCTGCTTCTTTGCTTCTCTGCTTCTTCACTGTTCTGCTTCCCTGCTGTTTTCTGCTTTTTCGCTTCTCAAACCTAAATAAACCTCAAGATGCGCAATATAAATACACCCTAAACCAACCCCAAATAAACCCCAAACCAACCCTCCCAAACATAAAGCAACTTTAGGTAAAGCCTTACCCTAAAATCTGACACTTACCCCAAAAAAACCCCAAACAATTCCTATATAAATGAACCCAAACTAACACCCAAAAAACAAAAGCAACCCTAGTTAACCCCTAAACAAACCTCTGAAACTTACGCTAAATAAACCCTAAACCAGCCTAAATAGATCCTAAAACCACCCCAAGTAGATCTTAAACCAAACCTAAATAAACCCTGAACCAACTCCAACTAAAACCTAAACCAACCTTCAATAGATCCTACATAAATCTTAAACCACGCCTAAAGGAACCCTAAATCAACCCTACATAGATCCTAAACCAACCAAAATAAGCCCCAAACCAACCCTAAAACCAACCCTTTAAAAAAATACTTTACTTTGAGTGATCCCCATCATGACCATTATACGTTTTGTTACTGGCAATTTTCTGACACATCTTATGTCATATCTTCATGGTGAAAATCACCTAGATACCAGCCACTCCCTTTGCAAGCAAGCCATTGCGTTTTTTTTGGTCTGCGACGTTGCTAGCCGGTCTGCCGCTTCACTCCCGAATGTCACCTGGCATCACCGCATGCTATTTTCTGGCATCCTATCTGACATGCTATCTGGCGTTCTATCTGGCATATCTTCTGGCATTCTATCTGACATATCTTCTGGCATTCTATCTGGCATAGCTTCTGGCATTCTACCTGGCATATCTTCTGGCAGATGTTCTGGCATATCTTCTGGCATATCATCTGGCAAATCTTATGGCTTTTTATCTGGCATATCTTCTCGCATTCTATCTGACATTCTATCTGGCATATCTTCTGGCATTCTATCTGGCTTTTGAGGTCCAGCGGTGCGCACTGAGCTCGGAAGGCCCCAGGTTGAGGTCCAGCGGTGCACACTGAGCTTGGCAGGTCCCAGGTTCAGGTCCAGCGGCGCACGCTGAGCTAGGAAGGTCCCAGGTTGAGGTCCAGCGGTGCACACTGAGCTGGGAAGGTCCCAGGTTGAGGTAGCTCCGAAGTTGGCGAAGAGCTTGGCCAAGAGTTGGCAAGGCAACAGTGGACGTGGAAGTGGAGGCAGAGGTGGTAGAAGAGGAGGAGGAGGACGCGGAGGAGGAGGAGGAAGGAGGAGGAGGAGAAGGAGGAGGACGAGGAGGAGGAGGAGGAGGATGAGGAGAACAGCTCTGATAAAATTTAACAACCCTCACCTGGCAGGTGGGGAACAAGACTAAACATTAAAAAACGAAGCCAACCCTAAACCAATCTCAAATAAACCAAAAGACAAACCTAAACAAACCCTAAATGGCCTCTTGTCGCAAAATACCATCCAACATGAAAAGTTTGAGCACCAAAATATGTTGCAAATATCATGGAAAATGAGAGGTTCGAACTCCAAGAAATGCCAGCTTCGAGCTCCAAACTGATGCAAATTGCAAGGAAAATGGACGGAACAGCAGATCCAACAAAAAATCCCAAAACGGAAAAACAATAATTCCCAAAACAATTCCTGACCCCTTCCATACACATTCATACATGTCCATACACATCCATACATATCCATACATATCCATACATATCCACATATATAATCTATATATATATATATATAGATCCACAAATATCCATGCATATACATAGATATCCATACATCCACACATCCATACCTCCATACATCCACGGATGCATGCCTGCATGCATGCATGCACACAGCTGGTATATATATATGTATACAAACACCTACCACGTTGTGTGCATTGGAAATCACCGCAGAAACGAAGTTTGTCCCGCGGTTTGTGAGGCATTTTGGAAGAGATGGAGGCCGTAGTGAGCGAAATTGGCAAGATGAAATGATGCACCAGGCGCGGACTCTGAGTCATTTTTGTGGGTATTTTGTGACCTGGATCTACCTGGTTAAAGAATGGAAGTCAATATGAATTCAATCATTTCGAGCCATAGCCATTTGTTGATTTTGTTATAGTTGTGATTGTTTCGATTTGTGGCTTTTGAAAGTTGATTCTCATAGTGGCAATCTGAATTGAGTGAACCATGCATCTGTGGAGAACACTTAAAACAAGGACCATCGAAGAGCCTGTGCGTCCATTTCGTTGTTTCACCTTGTTGACACAACACCCCGACAAATGTTTGCATGTTTGGTTGGTGATTCTTGCGATGATCAACGACAAAACAAAATAAACACACTTTTTGGCTAAGGCATGGTACACTCCAAGCATGCATTTCCCACCGCAACATTGATTCCAGTCCAGCCTCCGCTGCAGGTGGTGTTGGCCGCTGCTGGTTGTGCAAAGCCGTCAACTGTAGCCGGCTCGGAATAGCAAGGTCCCTTTTCGGTTGAGGGGTGGGATTGGCAGAAGTGTCCGAAAAACGCAACTGAGATAATAATGCCAGCGAGCATGGGGATGCCATCCACCCCCGCAGAAAAAAAATAAGACACCAATTTGGGCATGTCAATTTCTACCCATTTAACAAAATTTGGGCATGGGTCCATTTCCGGTCTGAACCATCCGAACCATAGTTGACGAACCAAACGTCATCCAAATGCCTTCCAGTCCTACATTTTATCGGATGTTGTGGGGGAACCATCCCGTTTCCAAAGTTCTTTCACTTGACCCAAGCCATTGTCTAGGAAAACCCTAGTGGAGTAAGTTGATTTGGTGTTTCTTTTGCCATAAATCGGGATATCAATAAACCTTAATTAAGCCAACTGCAGTCAACAATGAAGCGGATTTTCAGAAAGTAGCCAGTGCAAGATTGGCCACGTGCAGCTAAGCGATCACTAGCTGAACCGATGTTGGGATTGTGGCGTCTCAGCCCGTAGTTACGACCGCTAGTTTTTCATGTAGTCGATCTGGAACACGACGTGACGACATTGCGACGGGGACGTATCTGCGTAAAGATGATCGATGATGTTTTCATGAAACAAGTTTGACACAAGGCCTTGCATACCGTTGCTGACGTTGCGTTTGGATGCTTTTGGCATCATGGTCTCATCATTTGGATATTTCCATATATTTCCTAAATTGGGGTACCCCTAAATCATCCATTTTATTTGGATGTTGCCTTATAAATAAACCCTCCATTTTGGGGGATCCCCGTTTATGGAACCCCTTATTTTCCACCATATGTTTAATCCTTTGGGTTTCCACCATAGTG